AGATAAACATCAGGAAACTGTGAAATATGTGCTAAAAACTGAATTTGAAAGAAAGCATTTGTTAGTAGAAGGAGCTGCACTCCGTAATGCTTTCTGCCCTTTTGCAGTTGCAATTAATTACTGAGTTCATTAATTAATGAACATATTAGAGAAAGACACCATTACTGACTAGGGGAGATCTGATATATTACTGAGTCAATAAAGTATTGAACACAGAGAGACCTTTCGGTAGAACCCTCCCTGCTTCGTCTGGTCACTCGCAATCACATATATTATTCTTGCCTACTCAGCAATTTCGTGGGTGCCCTTATATTTCATATTTCTAATTCCTTTAATTACCGTTAGGTACAACAATGTTTTACAACCTTGCTAATGAACAGTTGGTCGGTTGACGTTGGTTGATAAACTCTTAACTGTCAGGTGCAATACAACAAACTCACCCACCCCTGTGCGCTTGCATCCAGCAATACTTTTTAGAGTCTGATATGAAGCAGCAGCTGAAGAGAGAAAAGCAAAAGGCATGTAGAAAATATACCTTTGTCGGAAATCATGTAAGGAAAAGCAGTCAGATTTTAATTGGAGAACAACCGAAAAAATTCATCAAACATGATCTATGCATTTGCAAATAACCCCTGTTTTGAGCTTATTTGCTCACAGGGATGCCACATTTATTTGAATGGGGCTGGTAATATCATGCAAGGACATGAGCTGTGAGATATGTGGGGCACTATGCATGTACAAGAGGGATGTCCCCACTGCCTGCCTCTGCTACCCAAATGCTGCTTTTGAACTCCTGTGGACTAAACGGAGTGGGCTTAGCTGTGTCAGAGGGTTGCAATTTTGCAAAGCCAACAATATGCAACAGGCCAGCAAAACTTCTCCTGGCCTATAACTTTAAGTAATAAACGGTGTGACGCAAACTATCTATACTTGGAGGTAGATCTCTCCCAAGTGCAGTGGGATGCCTGAGTGAGTAGGTGTATATATAAAAGATTGCAGCTAAAACCACTGTTTCAAGACAATGGTGGTTATTTCCTATAATGTGGCGATTTGCATTTCCATAAATCAGTTGCTGCTGCATTCGGGGAATTCTGATGTTCTTGCAAGTGCAGGTACCAAACCTCCTTCCTATGACCCTAAAGTAATCACTGGTTGCATCTAAATTGGTAGAGTGATCATTTCCTGGCATTTCCAGTAGTTACAGTACATTGTTAATGTGTGAATGATGAATATAATACCCTCCATTTCAAAAATATGTGTGCAAATTAAGCTTAAATGCATGCCATAAATTTACTACTAGTAGTTTAGGGAGCACAGGTCATCTATAGAACTATTAAAAAACTGAGGTCTTGGCCTAAAAAGAGAGCGTCTTGGTCATTATTTATGTATTTGCTTTATAGTTTAAAGAAATTATCCATCTTTCCCTTCCAAAGTAATATTTCTTTTCATACCGTATGTGTTTCAATCTTACCCACTTATATTTCATTTTCAGATGGTGGGGGACATGTTTCTAAAGGGCACATCAAATTGTCAAAAGTTGAACAGCTGTGCCTTGTACAAGTGATGCAGCAAATGAAATTTGCTGTATGGTTCCTGAATCAATTCTCTTCTCTATCTCCATCATTGTATTGGTGCTTAGGGAACACATGGAGCCAGTGGCCATTGTGATGCTTAACTGAATTAAATATTTCACAAGTTTCCAAAAAAGAAACTTGAGAACTTTCTTCTTCTTCAATGGAGTGGAGAGACCTTTGCTCCATATTTATGTATATTTCAGTATGTACTTCATTCTTAGTTACAACAAAAATGACATGTTACAGTGTTAAGAGATAACTAGCTTAAAAACAACAACCATCCTTCGGGCATTTGGAAAGCTGAAATTTGTACAACACGCACATTGTCTTCTACACTTATAAACCAAATGGGGACTTGGGTCTACATTATTTAAGTGTGTTTATTCATTTTCACGATGGTGCTGGCTTAATGCATCCTATAATTGGAATTGTTCTGTGACAACAAAAAAGTTATTGTTTATGACAGCCCCCTTCCCCTGAGATGAAAATAGAGCACGCCATTCCATGTCAATTTTTGTTTTACATTTTGTTATATATACAGTAGGGAAATGAAAATGACAAATATTCTGAAAGCATATATTTAAAGATTTTTTTAAAAAACCCAAAACAAAACAAAACAATGCTGCATATTTCTCTGATAATAGCCAAGGTTCCAAATAGTTCTCTGAATATGTGTTGAGATCTGAACCTGTGGCTCCCCAGACATTGTTATCTCTGACCATTGGCCATGCTAGGGCTCATGATGGTTGGGGTCAAAACAACACCTGCAGGTTCCAGAGCCCTGGTGTAGTGGCTAAGAAGGTTAACTGTTCTGAACCTGGAAGTTCAAATCTCATCTGAATCTTGAATTTTGCCAAATCGCCTGCTGTTATTCTTTACCAGGCAATATAGGATGATGATTCTGACCTCCCACCCTCCAGGTTCTGATGTAAGCAGTACATGTTAACATAATGCACGTGAAGGCCCTTAGACGTGCAGCGAGTTATAAAAAATTCTACTTCTTATGTGATTATTCGTCTAGTAAGATGTTTATAGAAGTTGGTTTTCTTTTTCTCCTTCTAGGCCATACGCTGCACACTGGTAAATTGTACGTGTGAATGTTTCCAACCGGGGAAGATAAACTTGAGAACCTGCGATCAGTGTAAACATGGATGGGTGGCGCATGGTAAGAACTACTTTCCTTTCTGTTTCTCCTTGTCATGTTTACCTCAATGTGTGCATATAAAATATCAATTGCTTAATTACTTTTACATATTGACACCTACATACCCATTGTAAGTTTATCTGACATCAGAAGAAGTGCGCTATGCCATATGCATGCTTGCTTTGTGCTCTGTAGACAACAGAACAGTGGAGGTTCCTGTTGTTCCAACACATGGCATTGAATGACAGTGGAAGAAATGAGTATTGTGCAGCGTGCATTCAAAGTAGCATATTCTAGCCTATTTTGATTCTCACAATTGAGTAGTTCAACAAGATATTTAGATCTAGGGCCAGCCCGACACATTTTGGTACCTGAGGCAGAATCTTTCCATGTCTTTCGCCACAATATTGTTTAGACTCAAAACTGAACTCAAAGCTGAAGCTGTGTCCAAGCAGACTGTTGAAATTTGCTACTAAGGTTGCACTAAGAGATCAGTTGTGCATAGGATAGCAGTTGCGTCAAGCTAATGGTTCCAGCTGCCTTGAAAGAGGAAGTGGTGGTGTGGCTGTTGCTATGGAAACCTGCCTTGCACCCTGAAGGTCTTAATAACCATTTGCCAGTTGCTAACATTCCTTTCCTGGGCATGGTATTTAAACGCGTGGTTGCCATGCAACTCCAGGCAATCTTAATGAGATGAGTTTTCCAGATCCTTGTCAGTCATGCTTCAGGGCTGTTTCTGGCACTGATGGATGACTTTTGCCCTTTCTTGTGATGAGGCAGAGCAATGCTTTTAAAATCATTACCATGTGGGTAGTCCTCAGTATGAGTTTTGGAAACAAGCTGAAAGCTGCATGCGTTAAATATATATTTTATTAGCTGGAGCTAGACTAAGCTAGTTGAACTTTGCTCCCATTGACGTCACGGTTAACTTATCCTACTGATTTCAGCAGAACCTAAGTTATTCTGAACTTAAATTCTGGAGCATGGAGTTGGATCTAGAATAAGTTAATGGATCCAACTCATGTTCCCTGCCTCTTGGCAAAGACTTGGCCTTAATCTGAATTTATAGCAAGTGCAGTCCATGCCAACTCCCCATTGTTCCATGGGGGGGGGATATTAAACCACCCTGCCTTAGATTATCTCATGGTAGGACCATATTTGTTTATACTGCAGTTGTGCTTGGAGCTCACATTGCACATAAGAAGCAACCAGTACGCCAGAGTTTGGTGGAAATTCAAACATACCAGAGTCTGTCTTTCAGAGCCTGGATAGCAGAAAGAAGGTGGTATATTCTGAAATGGTTGAGTGAAAATCTTCATGGTGGTTCACTCTCATAAGTGGTGGCACAATGACCTAGATAATCTATAACTCAGGGCATGAGCTGGAAGGTATGTTTTGCTTTACTCTCTGCACAGCTCTAACTTGTGGGGGTGGGTAGAGGGTAGGATCCCCCACCACAGCACCCCCATTACTCAGAAATCCACCTGGCAAATAACATTCCTGGCAATGTTACTTTCACTATCCAGCCTGTATTATTGTGTACTTCACTCTTAGTGATTCTTGTAACCCCCCCCCCCTTTTGCTGAATCATCAAATATATTTTTAAAGTCTGGTTTTAAGGATAGGGTGGAGGAAGAAAAGTCCTACTAATTTCATTGGAAGAGGGGTTGCGTGCCCATCCTTTATCTATTTTGTTTATCATCTCCGTCACTTTCAAAAGGTTGCAATCCTCTAGGATCTCAGGGTGCTGTACATGGGGTGTTGCAAACTTTGTTTATTTGACATCTTACCCACCCTTCACCATGAGGTCCCAGGACAGGATTGCAGCATTTTAAAAATACATTGTTAGAATCAGTCAAGCCAAACCACAGTCAAGAGAATAGGATGGGTCCATCTACATATATGGTGTCAAAGGCAGGGGTAAATAAGTGTGTCCACAGGTTAGGGGCTCTCACAGAGAATGCCATCTCCCAGGCTGCCACCCCCTGAATTTTGTAGACCAGTGGTACTGCTCAGAGGGCCCCCTCTGCTGATCTTAGTACCTGAGAGGTTCCAAAGGGAAGGAGATGGTCTTTGAGGTATTTGGGGCCTAAGTAATTTAGGGCTTTAAACACACCTTTGGGTCTGGAAACCAACACAGCTGTATTAAACAAGAATTATGTGAGTTTTTAATGGAACCCCAACTTTAGATCACATTCTTCTCCACCTCCTGCTCCTCCTTCGTATGCCTCCCTTCACCCGTAACTCATTTAGGCAGAGTAAATGTGATTTGGCCAACCCAGAAGCTGAACAGGTATTTCAAACCTGCAGTTCCCTAGTCCAAAAGATCACCAACATCCCCTTGCTCTCCCCTGGAAATCAGTGGGACTTAAATTTGTATGAATCATGCCCACTATGCCTCGAGTTTATGTTATTCTATCTTGTCAGGCCCAAGTACTACATGGCACTGGTCTTGCCTTACTTGTATATTAAGTTTGTTGCAAAACCATGGTCTTCAGTGCTGTCAGAGTAAGACTGATTGGCAAATTTTACGTGCTTGCTTGTTATTAATTTGAAGGACCCTTTGTGAGAGGAAGGAAAGGAGAGATCTCACAGGGTGAGAGGCTATGAGAAGAGAGGGGGGCTCCCAGGCAAGTTAGGAAGGCTCATCTTTTCCCCCCCTGTATGACACTTGTAATGTGAAATGAATTTTGGTAACTACGATTCTATAATAGATGGATAATGGGAAAAGATGCAGAAAAGATTATTATTATTATTATTTGGAAATGGAACCCATGAAGGGAGGGGAAGATGTCCAAAGTTTTGAAATAACCTTTTTATTTTCATGTTTTGGAGTAGTTAAGGTTACTATGTATAAATTCATGTAAAACCAATATAAAAAAAAATCTTATTAAAAAAAGTTAAGATACAGCTTTGAGAGAGTATTTTGTATTTTTAATTCTGTTTTCCATTCTTTTAGTTTTTCTCTTTTTATAGTTCTTTGAAGATTAGTTCGTATTTTATTGTATCATGATTTTTTTTTTAAAAAACACAATTATGTTCACCAGCAATAGCTGGTCATATCTCATTGCTGATTTAAAAAAAAATAGCTTAGTCAGATATTTTTAAAGTCCAAAATGTGTGAAATTTGAAAGCCACACAACCGCTGGTTTTAGGGACAGCAAATGCACACCTCTGGGATTCTGTGTCTTCCATCTTTGGAGAACTCCATGATCACTTCTAGCAGCTATGGAATCTGTCAAGGGATGTTCACTATTTTGCGTGTGGTAGTCGGGGTGTTTGTGGAAAGTTAAAGGGGGGAAATCTGTCCTTTTGACCTTTTTCCCTTTCCAAAAAAATAAAATAAATGTAAAACATTTGTGTCGAAATAACTAGAACACAAAGAATAGGGTAGAATGAAATAATGTGTCATGTTTTGGTCCTGCGGAGGAGCCCATGGAATAAGACCACAAGGTAGGACAGAAGCTGCAACACCACGGACAGCTCCTGCACACACAGTCTATGAAGGTCCAAAATTTTTTTTAGCGTTTTTAAAGCATATGCTTCCACACAAACCTCTCCCAGACTCTGTTCCTAATGGGGGGGCCAGCCCTCTGGCCTGAAATCCGGCACTCCCTTGTGCTCACTCCATAGCCTTCTGCCTTGTGCACTTCTTGCATCGCTGGATGGCTGAGAGGGCTGTGGGTGGCCTTTAATCCCTCAAGCTCAGGAGATTGTGCTTGTGAAGGTCCTCGCTGAAGCCTTGGTGATATGGGAGGTTGTTCCTTGGCCTGGTCCATGCAGTTTTCATCATCATCATCATCATGATTTATTATTTATACCCCACCCATCTGGCTGACATGAGGCAAGTCCTCATGCTGGTACGGTTGCAGCTGCTGGCAGGATGACGAGGAAAGCAAAAAAGGATTACTTTATACAGAGATAAATGTTGCATAAAGTGATGTACATACAACAGCTGAGAAAGAAGGAGAGTCAGATTGAGATACAGTGGTACCTCAGGTTACATATGCTTCAGGTTACATACGCTTCAGGTTACAGACTCCGCTAACCCAGAAATAGTGCTTCAGGTTAAGAACTTTGCTTCAGGATGAGAACAGAAATCATGCTCCGCCGGCGGCGCAGCAGCAGGAGGCCCCATTAGCTAAAGTGGTGCTTCAGGTTAAGAACAGTTTCAGGTTAAGTACGGACCTCCGGAACGAATTAAGTACTTAACCCGAGGTACCACTGTGAGCACACACACACACACACACACACATATATTATCCATCTCCTTTATTGGCATAGAAAAAGTGCATCATATACATGGATAAGAACACAACACAGTTAACGAAACATAGTAGGAGATACTTTAGAATAAAAGTGTCCAGACATCGTGAGGTACAAAGATGGCTCTTAGGACCCATGGTGACGTAATTTCATAGCGTCACTCAAAAATCTTTCCACCTCCTCCACAATTTCATCCCTACAGTTGTTCCGCAGACGAGACACCCTGGAAGATAAACCCCTTCCTCCAATAAGGGGGCCAAATACTTATCACGTATTTTTGCATAAAATGGGAAATAAAAATAAAACGGGTGTGATGAATTCTACCTCTTTTGTACTACAAAGGCAGCATCTTTCAGAGGATGGGATTTTCGGGACTCTACCTTGCAAAACGGCAGACGGTGAGACGTTAAATCTTGCTAGGGAAAGAGCTCTGTGTAAGTGGGGATCGTAAATATGGACTGTCCTGGCCCAACGAGGGTGGGAAACCCCAATGGGGAACAGGTTTTCTTGGCTTCACTGCAAAGGATTGGGAATTCAGTCTCTAGGATTCTGTGCTTGATTGTCTGGAATGCTTCCAATTGTGGGAGCATAAGCAGCGATTCGAGTGATAGGCCACAGGTTCTGATTTTGCTCTCAATGCAAGCTAGCCTTTTAGAATGGTGGGATTCTGCCAGTATGTGGAAAGTTAAAGAGGATGGATCGGACATGAAATGTAGGTGGAGTCAGAATTTTACAGTGATGAGCCACACTTTGGTTTCCAGCAGCCCTTGCCGAGTTTCCAGACACATGGCTGTACATGGCACGCAATTTGGCAGCCCCAGAATTTTGCGCAGAAATTTGGATTGGATGTGTTCCAACGATTGGTTAACTGTGCCAATTCATAATGGAATGCCATACAGGAGTTTTGGGGCAACTTTGGGGCATTAAAGAACTTTAGTGCAGCTGGACTCATGGACTGATTCCCTCTGTTAAAGAAGAAACGTGTGACAGCCAGAGCTAGAGGATCCGCTCCATTAAGTGCAAGTTTGCAATCGTCTTTCCAGGAAGTGTTATATTGGAAGTGAATGCCTAGGTATTTAAAGTTTTTAACCTGTTCCAATGGCTTTCCACTGACCTCCCACCTATGAGGCTTCCAAGATCTTGAGAAAACAAGCACTTTAGATTTTGCGAAGTTCAGTTCCAGTCTGTTGGCTATACAATATTCCTGGCAGCAGCACAGGAGCTGCTTCAAGCCAACCCTTGTGCAAGACAAGATGACTGCATCATCGGCATATAGTAAGATGGGAACATGAATGGAGCTGAGCTTCGGGCAATGGGCATTCACCCCGGGTAAACAGGGTAAAAGGTCATTTTTAAAAAAACAAACAAACAAAAAAACCCCTGTCATTAGCAAGTTGTGAGAGTCAGTTCTAACAACTTGCTATTGACAGAGGGGTTTTTGGTTTGGTGTTTTTTTTAAAGCATGCTTATAAGGAGCAGTATAGCATCAAACCTAGACAGCATCTTAAAAAGCAGAGACATCACCTTGCCAACAAAGGTCCGTATAGTAAAAGCTATGGTTTTCCCAGTAATGATGTATGGAAATGAAACCTGGACCATAAAGAAGGCTGATCACCGAAGAATTGATGCTTTTGAATTATGGTGCTGGAGGAGACTCTTGAGAGTCCCATGGACTGCAAGAAGATCAAACCTATCCATTCTTAAGGAAATCAGCCCTGAGTGCTCACTGGAAGGACAGATCGTGAAGCTGAGGCCACCTCATGAGAAGAGAAGACTCCCTGGAAAAGACCCTGATGTTGGGAAAGATGGAGGGCGCAAGGAGAAGGGGACGACAGAGGATGAGATGGTTGGATAGTGTTCTTGAAGCTACCAGCATGAGTTTGACCAAACTGCGGGAAGCAGTGGAAGACAGGAGTGCCTGGCGTGCTCTGGTCCATGGGGTCACGAAGAGTCAGACACGACTAAAAGACTAAACAACAACAACATAGCATCAAAACCAGAAATTTGTGCAAAACTATTGCTTCAGTTCTGTGAAAATTCTGTTCCCTTCTCATTCTTTGTATTTTACTTTTATTGTTGTTACCCATATGGAATATCATTTGGTGAGAAGGCAGGATATACATTTAGCAAATTATTATCATCGTGATGTATTAAATTTGTATACTGCCCTATAGCCATAGGTCTCAGGGTGGTTTACAACACACAGTTACAATATATGAAGCACAAAATACATAATAAACCTAATAAAAACATAAAAATAAAAATAATCATAACAATTAACAATTCTAATGTATGCACACTAAAAAACAATACCCGCCTGGACAAAAGTTCCTGAACAGTACCCTAGCCCACAAATACAAAAATCAAAACTAGCATATAACATTTAACAACAATTTAAAACAACCCCACCCTCCAAATAAAACAGCACCCACCCAAGTTAAAACTCCATCCTCGTTAAAATAATAACTTTAACACAAGGGGGTTGGCCCACACCCTTGTTCCATTCCTGAAGTGTTGCCGCCAAAGGGACAAGTTGTAATTTTCCAGTTCACAAAAGAGAAGGGATGATCTTATTAACTAACTAATTAAATAGTTTCACCTATTGGCTTTTGAGCAGGTTATACTCTGGTACATACAATATAAGAACATAACGCAATTGAAATTTAAAAGAAACCAGAATCAACCACTCATAAATTTACTATTGGTGGGGAAAGGCCAATAGAAGAGAAATGTCTTCACCTGCCATCAGAAACAACCGCATCTCTCTGCCTGTCTAATCTCAGCAAGGGAAGGTGTTTTTGTAATATTAGAACAAACTGAGAGGAAATGCCATGTCATAGCGCAGCAAGCTTCATTCAGATGCGGCATGGAACCTTCTCGCATAACCACATTTGCCACATTTTCCGTTTTTCTAGAGAAAGAGGTGCCAAGAACATCTTCCTTGTTCTCTGAGAATGGCATTGACGCCCACCTTGAGAGATGCTGTAGCTGAGCTCTGGCTGAAAAAAAAAGAGCTCTGCACATATCTGTGTATTTGTCTGCTTTGTATATGAAGAAGGTGCACAGCAGCAGCTCCCATGTTGTTAATGTAACAGAAGAAAGGACCCAAGGTGCATTTAATTCCCAGTGGGACCTAAATGCTTTGTAGTTGAAGAGCAGGCATCTCACAAGTAGGACTGAGAGAGCCAGCTTCAAACCTCTCCGCTATGAAGCTCACTGCATGAGCTTGGGCCAGCCTGGTCTACCTCATAGGATTGCTGTTAGGACAACAGGGTGGAGAGGGACATTGTGTTCTGCTCTGAGAATCTTGGAGGGGCAGATTAAAAACATAGTCAGTGATTTCTGGACTTTCAGATTTCCTCTTAGCTAAAATAAGAATCATTCTCCAATCTAAAGAGCCAGTGTGGTGTAGTGGTTAAAAGCGGTAGACTCATAATCTGGGGAACCGGGTTCACGTCTCCGCTCCTCCACATGCAGCTGCTGGGTGACCTTGGGCTAGTCACACTTCTTTGAAGTTTCTCGGCCCCACTCACCTCACAGAGTGTTTGTTGTGGGGGAGGAAGGGAAAGGAGGTTGTTAGCCGCTTTGAGACTCCTTTGGGTAGTGATAAAGCGGGATATCAAATCCAAACTCTTCTTCTCTTCTTCTTCTAAATTTAACTTCTGTTAACAAAGCCTCCTTTTGCCCATCATTCAGCTGCCTTTATAATAAAAATAAAAATGCTTGCACTTCAATAAAGTAAGATGACACTGTTTTACAAATAAGCTTTCTCAAGGCAAGTGAGTGGGTTTATACAGCAGGTTAGGATCCTTCATAGGCTTATGGTATCTTACCACACATTTTGGTTTTGGTTCTTTCCCCTACCCTTTCTCAGGACAACTGTTCCTCATACATTTTCTTAGTTTCAGCCCTTAAAATTCCTGTTCGGGAGATGGGATATGTGTATATGATAAACAGAAATTTACATTTGAGAACTGCATCCTGCCAGCGTGTGTAAATTTCTTGGTCCTCTTTGAATAAATCCAATCACCGTGTTTACATTTTGTGGCAAAGCAGGACC